TGTCAACTGACTCATAATTTATGATGGTTGCAGTGACTGGGGAGCATGTGATCCCCTTTTGCAACCCTAACCAGCAAAGCCAATGGGGGAGCCAGATTTACTTAACAACTGTGTTGGCTAACCTAACAACCGCAGTGATTCGTCACCCAGCTTTACATCACCCCAGGGGTGAAATCTAACAGGTTCTGACCAGTTCTGGAGAACCGGTAGCGGAAATTTTGAGTACTTCAGAGAACCAGTAAATGCCACGTCTGGCTGGCCCCGCCCCCATCTATTCTCTGCCTCCCGAGTCCCAGCTGATGGGGAGGAAATGGGGATTTTGCAGTATCCTTCCCTTGCCACGCCCACCAAGCCACACCCACAGAATCGATAGTGAAACAATTTGAATTTCACCACTCCATCACTCGTGTCGGGGGCACCTGTAGTGGTCCGAGCATTCTGCCAGAGAAAACAGGCTCCTGAGCTCCATTTTTGGCCGTGATGGCCTCCTGCAGCCTCCTCCAGTGAAAATGGAGCTGAGAGGGGCCACGCATGGCCCTCCCAAGCTCCATTTTTACTGGCAGAGCCACTGTGGGCCGGTCCTTCACTGTTTCTAGGGCGCTCTCCCCCGCCCCTGTTTGACACCCTGATCAATAGGAATCAGTCTAAACTCCAAGGAGTTAATAAATGCAACTTGAATACAGGTTAGCCAATTCTTCAAAAAAGAATAAGTATGCATTACTTTAGGTCACACAGAAATTGCAGCGAACCTAAAAAACAACAAAAAGAACCCACTTTAAAATCAAAACTATTTCAAATTAATTTGGCTCCAAGAAGATTTGACTCCTATTGTCAAAAGAGGAAGCCAACGGCAGTAATTATCTTCTTTATTGTTCATCATTTGAAAATAACCTACAGTCAGATTAGTGGAAGGCTACCCGACTCTCATTTATTTTTCTGCAGAACGACATGAGACATATATGCATTTCTGAAACCTTTCCACCTTTGATCCCGCTGCCGTTACAATCCATCTCACATCAATCTTTTAGGATCTATTTTCTCCAAGTGGACCAGGGGCTTCAGCTGCTCAGCAAAACTCCTCATGTCATCGGAAACCATATCTTGTCCCGCTGGCGCCACGATGTTGAGCTCCACGAGGTAAGAAAGAGACAAAGGCTCAATGTTATCGGTGTTCCCTGGGAGGAGGATGCGGAAGATCTTGTACACCACAATCTTCATAATGCCCTTGCGGAACACGTGCCCCTTGGCTACAAACTCGTGGTCCATGCGGAAGCCCATTTCTACCAGGAAGTCTGTCAGGTTGTCCGAGGTGGCAATATCCACACAATTCCGCACCAAGGCATGGCGGTTTTTGTCTCCCATTTCCGGCTGCCCAAGATACCGCAAGTGCCAAGGAGCACCAGGTTTGTCCATGGAGCGTCGCGTGCGGAGGACAAATGGACTGGCTTGTTGGCCTTTGAGAAGGAAGACCATCTCGTGATCTACGAAAGTCTCGGGCTCCATGTTGTCACAAAGACCACGGAGTCGATGAAGAAGACTCTCTAGGCTTTGATCCAAAACGCTACCTGGAGGATTACAAATTACAGATTAACAAAGTTGGAAGGGACCTTGTAGGTCATCTAGTCCAACCCACCACCCAAGCAGGAGACCCTACACCATTTGTGACAAATAACAGTCCAATCTCTTCTTGTAGGCCTCCAGTGATGAAGCTCCCACAACTTCCAAAGGCAACTTCTGTTCCATGGGTTGATTGTTCTCACTGTCAGAAAGTTCCTCCTTATTTCTAGGTTGAATCTCTCCTTGGTCAGTTCCCATCCATTATTCCTTGTCGGGCCTTCAGGTGCTTTGAAAAATAGCTTGACACCACCACCACCTTCTCTGTGGCAGTCCCTTAAAGACTGAATTGCTA